GGGTGGAGGGGCGTCCGAGTTGGGAGAGTGGGGGGTGGGGGTGGGGGTGGGGCGGGGTGACGGGGGCAGTGCCTGGGGTGACGGGGGCCTAGTGCCTGGGGTCGTGCCAAGCGGCGGGAAGATGTGGAGCGGCAGCGCAGGGGCAGGACTGGCGGTGCGTGGTCTGTGCGTTGACGCCAGAGCGTGCCGTGCCGCACAGCCCTCCCTTCCACACTCGCACATGATATCCAAAGGATCTCCCTCCTTCAAACCGCAGGTGACGCCCGACCAGTACCTCAACACCGAGCCCTTCATCAACCGCATCAAGGAAACGCTGGAGAGCAAGTTTGGATACAAGGGCGAGGAGGCCAAGGCCAGGCTCTGAGGAGCTGGCGCAGCGAGGGGAGGAGGGGGCTGTCCGCCCTGTGCGCCGGTGCAAGTGCCTGGGAGGCTCCCGCAAAAATGGCTCCCCGTAGCTCGCCCGTGTAAAATCCGAATGGACCTGGCAGGGGAGTCAGAGCTGGTCCACTGGCTGCAACCGAGGAAAGTTCTTCCAGGCTCAGCAAGCCTGTGTCCTCGCCCAGGCTGCTGCCCAGAAGCTGGTGGTGTTTGGCCAGAGCAAACTGTGTGCTATCAAAGCAAGCAGTTGTTAGCATGTGCAGCGGTGCCAGTGGGGCTGTCTGTCTTCCACCCCCGTGATGGGATGGCAAGTGCGGCGCAAAGCAAAATGCAGCAGCTGCGCTGATGGTCGAGGCGATGTCTTCAAGGGGTGTGTGTGAAGCTCTCCTCAGCTTTACATGGTAAAAGGTCTACATCATTTCATGCACAGATGCACGTGGTGGTACACTTGATGGTTGGACATGTCCAGTGCCAAAGGACGGATGCGGACGGCAGACACGAGGACCTGGTGCAGGTCCATGTTGTGATGCAGCAATGTCGTCATGGCGGATGGCTTAGTAGGGTGTAGGTATGGACTTGCTTGCAAGTGGATGGGGAAGGTGTACAGAGGTGAACCTTGAAAGGGTTGAAACACGTTGCTGTGACCATGACTGCAAACAAGATAATGCAATGAGTATAACTTTCTCTGACATGGAGCCCCGTGGAAAGGGCGAAAGGGGGAAAGGGCTGTAAGGAAACGAGAAACCCTCACAGATGGAAGGCCGCATTCCTGGTGGCCAGGGAGGTTAGCTTTCGCCAGAAATTCTTCTTGGGTTTGGCGTTCGTCGACCACCTCAAGTGGGCCCTGGGGCCACTGCCTATCTGGGCAAGAGGGGCCAAGAGGGGCACGAGCGCTTGAGATGTTGGCTCAGGGGAGGTGCAACACCCATCAAGCATACTGGTTGCTAACTCGGAGATGAGGCAGGGATGCTAGATTCAAGCAGCTTCCCAACTTGACCTCCGCAAGCTATACAATGAGACTCACCTGGTAAGTTGTTGTGCGCAGAGCGGTGAAATGGGCCTCAGCCATCACCAGCCTAGAGTCCATACTACCAGAACGCTTGGACAGCAGTCGCCCAACACAGTCTGACTGTGCTGCTAAGAGCAAGGCTTTGGCAGCTGCAAGCTGGACGGTGGTGCTCTGGAGGCTGGCTATGAACTCAGAGCGCTGCACCCTGTAGGCCTCGCTCTGGCGATATGCGTGCTGCAAGGATCGCCAGGCTTCCCACGACGCCGTGGTCATGTCGACCATTTCTGCTTCCAGATCGGAGATAAGCTTTTTTGCGACTCGAGAGCGCTCTGTAGTCTCCTGAAGCCTGGCTTTCACAGTATCAATCTCGTCGTGACCGCTGTCGAGATCCTCAGCCGGGCTGGCCTCCAGCAGTGGCAGCAGGCAGTGAGGCAGCATACAAGATGCAGACATCGCCGCCACGCTAATGAGATAGTGTATTCCCCAAAGCCCCTGCGAGTAGTAGCGGACGGGAAGTGACTCTGCAATCTGTGGTTTGTACTGGGTAGGGTCCTGATTGCACTGACGGGCATTTGGGTCGTATGGCGAGGGATGCGGGAGTGCAGCTTGCACGAGGTGGACGACGTTCATACAGCAGCTTAACAATCCCATCCCAATGATTGAGGAGCAGGGACTGACCTTGGCCTCACAAATGCTCTTGCTCAGCTATACGCCCAAGGGCTGACAGGGAATTCCTGTCGTGGCGCTGTGCTGAGTACGAACGACGCCTAGCCCTCTACGAAAACATTTACGGCCGTGGATGACAGATATTTGAGCTGGTACAACGATTTCTGCACACGTTTACTACTTGATGGGGGAAGCTTTCAGGGAGCTATTTAACCCGGCCAATGTTGGTGCTGGCAAGTGGATTGTCACTGGCAGTTTGCGGAAGTTGGTAACTTACCGGTGTTGCACTGTGAAAACTCTGGGGATATCAAAGGTCAAAGGCGATGCGGATTGATTACTTCGGCCCGGTTCCGTCGGAGATGCGTCAGAACTCCCCCAGAGCGCACCGCGCGCGCAGAACGGAAGGTGCCGAGTCGGTTAGATCTCAACTACCATCAGATGCATTCGGGAGTGTGTTATTCTCAAGCGCATTGGCAAGCCGACAGAGAGAGTTTTCGAGGACAGAAGTAATCGCAGAACATATCAGACCACATAGGTGCAGTAGTAAGTAGAGCCTGCACCTCGTCGTCTGGTATCGTTGTACCCCAGCAACCATGATCGGGAACCTAGAAGCGCTTGGGGCTGCCGTTTCTCCCAGCCGCAGCGCAAAGAACGCACTCTCTCGCGTAGACAAGGGTCACATCTCGTGCGAGCTAGACGTCTGGCCGACCGAGGTCGGCACCCCGCTCGGGGAAGCCAGCCCCTCCTCTACCGTGCCCCAGAGTCCCCACGACTCCGATGCCAAGGTCAGGCCGCGATGGGACGCTCGGGTGCTGGGCCATGATATTCCGACTGCACCTGCGCCCACCATCTCTAAGGTTTCCCGGGACAGGTTCTGCATTGTCGGGGTTGCATGCTCTCCATGCTGTGCTCCCTCATGCCGACGCAGGCCCCAAGCACCTGCTGATGTGGACCAGCATTAGACACCCATTGTGGTGCACCAAGCCTTCCCCCATTCACCCACCTTCAGGAAGACCAGGAGGTGCCGGGCGTCAGCGGGAGCTCGGCCGAGTGGTCCATCCAGCCCAACATGATCTCCAGCAGCACCACACACTCCACCGACCCCGCTGGCGAGCTGGCTGCCGCGCTGAGCGAGCGGAACGCCCTGCGCTCGCAGCTGGCCGACGCAGAGACCGACTTTGGCGAGGCCGGTAACCGCATCTTCCTACTCAAGGCCCGGCTGGCAGAGGAGAAGCTGGCTCTGGACGACGATCTCGATGCCCTGAAGTACCAGGGGGCCAACCACGCCCAGCTTGAGAAGCTGGTCAGTCACACCACCGCCTGCCTGGAGGACGCCAAGGCCGAGCTGGTGGCGGTGCACAGCATGCTCGCCGCAGCACAGCATGCTCGTGGCGAGGCCCTGGCTGCAGCAGCTCCCGATCCCGGCGCGGGGGTGGGGGGCACCAGGCGGGAGGTGGAGCGCTATCGCCGCATCTTCTCCTATGCTGCTGCCAAGCAGAGGCTCGTCACCGTGGTGAAGGTGCGAGGCTGGTGGGGTGGTGGGGCAGCCCTCCCAGCTATGCCCTGGGGAAGCTCAGGTGCCAGCACCCCCGGCACCCCGCAGCCGCCGGCTTGAAAGACTCACATCCTGGAACAAACACCCGCCCAACCACTCAACCCCTGCCTAGTCCCTCCCGCCTGCAGGCCATCGTCCCTGTCAAGAAGCCCGTCTGTCCCCCCTCGCCCGCCCACGACGCCACGCCCGCACAGACCAAGCGCTTCAGCTGGTCCAGGCTGTCCTGCTTCCGCAAGCCCCTGCTCCAGGCATGAAGGGGTGCCGTGGCACTGCAGCCTGGTGCCTGCACCCTTCACTTGGAACAGGACACATGGGTGTCAACATCCTTGCGCAGCCTTCAGGCATATGCACTGGGCCAGGGCAGGCATCACTGCGATCCTCGGTCATCACCAACATTCCGACATATCTCCTAGGTGACTGTGGACTCCCAAACCCATGAGCAATCCCCGGTGGTGTGAATACCCGAGGAGCCATGCACAGGAGAGCAGCTTCTCAGGTGCTCTCCACACCTTCTGCTGATTGATCTAATATGATGCTGTGGCGACGAGGCCTCACAGCAATTTTCTACTCCTCTGAACTCAAGGGCATCCTTCATACCGGTGCTCAATCGTGATAGCAGAACCACCTTGCTATTCTTGACTTGCTCTTTGAATGACTTTAGTCCTCTTGTGCAAGCACATGACCGTGATGCCTTGTAAATGTCTGCATGTACATCCAGAAATTCCGGCAGAGAGGTAGGGAAATAGAGCAGAGACCCAAATGCTTAGATGTTATTCACTGGGTGCCCTGGCTGCTTCTACTAAAACATGCAGGCAGAGTTGAACATCCTGCAGCATGCTGTGGATTGCATGTGAGGTATGTCTAGACAGCACCCACAGGGTATATAACACAAGGTGCACCATGGATTGTGAGCCTGAGCTCGTCCTGGCGGCATGTCCTGCGAGGCATAGGCACAGAGTCTAATTTCAGCACAGGACGGTCTCCCTGATATATTATATGTGAAACACGACGTTGATAACTACCCTTGACCCGGTAGTTCGTAAAAGCCATGGCCTCCTGCTGTGCGTGCTTCCCAGAGGGCATCTACCTGCACCTAATGACGCACGAAGTGCACAGTGACTCTGAACATCCTCGTCAATATGCACTGATCACGCGTACATCGTCACAAGAACTCACTGCATATACTGTTGATCAGAAGGCAGGGACTGGATCAAGCTGCACAGCCCCGCGATGGCTGCCCAGACGGTGCGTAGTGCTAGGGCGATGACACCTGCCATCAACCTTTCCAGGTGGTAGAGAATGATTCTTTAGACGAATCAGCCTGTTGAACCTACTTTTCCACTGCAGGACCCTCTACGAGAGTTCGCAGACTCCCTGCGAGGCAAGGGCGGGGTGGAGGCCCGGGCAGCCGTGTACCAGGCCCAGCGTGTGGAGATCGTGAGGGGCAAGGACCTGGGCCGGTGGATCGCAGCTCACCCCGAACCTTCTTCCCGCTTTCACAATGGAGGTGCGGACCATATGCGTCGGGATGGTCTAACTTGGGGTGCATCTGCCTTGTCCAAAAAGTGGAGCATAGCCTGCATGCCCGAGGCCACAGCGACACCCCCGTCCCTCGACCATTCCTGCCCACAGCCAAGACTCCTGAGGATCAGGCTAAAGAGGTGGTTGAGCTGCTGCTGCGCCGCAACCTCCTGCAGCGCTGTGAACGGATGTTCAAGCGTCCACCCCCAGGCAGCAAGAAGCTGGTCAAGTTTCCCAAGAAGCTGGTGCCGCCGGGCCCAGGGGATGTGAAGGTATGCTCTTATTACAATTATCTGCTGATTTAAGAGCATGTGCTCAGATTCCTCTCAGCCCTTCATCCAAGTGGCACATGTGCCATTGCATTACACAGAGCTTGCTCGCACAAGGATGGATTAGCAGTACACCCACGTGTCTCACAATCTGCCGCTTGTTATTCCCCTTCCCTTTTCATATTGTGCAGTCGTTTGCAGAGGACGCGTTCTATGCCTGGACGTATGACCGGCCATCCTCACCTTGGATGCTGGTGTTCACGATCCTGGGCATGGCTGGAGTCTTGGCCGCCTGCCTCTTCCCCCTCGCCCCCTACGGCATCAAGGTCACCGTGTTCTACCTAGCCTCCGGCCTGCTGACCGTCATCCTGGGCACCCTGGTGCTCAGGCTGTTTGTTGCAGCCACAAGCTGGATCCTGACGGGGAAGACACTGTGGCTCCTGCCCAATGTCCTGTCTGAGGTGGGGGGATGTGGGCGCTTGGCGGTGGGTGTTGAGAGGGAGGAATCTCACACGCGATCCATACTTTGCTGGCGGGTACTGTGCACATTTATGTACAGGCTTGGAGGATTCTGGCGTGTGCCGTCTTGGAGTGCTCATAGCTGCCTCTGCCCTCCGCTGGCGTCACACACTTTGCTACTCTCGCATGTATCCGGACTCGCTGCTGGTCCCCTGCACACCTGCAAACCAACCTCACCCCGGCTTGGCTGCACACCCGCCCATGCAGGAGGTGCCCCTGAGCGGCCTCCTCAAGCCACTCGTCTCGGTGCAGCAGCCAGATGAGGACAAGGCCTGGGCCAACAGCTGGTTGGCCCGCCTATCAGTGGGTGTGAGCCTGGCCTCCCTCATCTTCGTGCTGTACACCCACTCCCCTCCAAAAGGTAAGAGGGTTGTTGGGTTTGGGATGTATGCTCATAAGTGGCCTAGCCACAGTATTGACCTTTGCATTAAGAAGCTAGAATTCCGACTGCTTTGACGTGCACAAGGCTTTCCCAATTCCATTGAGTCTCAACAGGGGCTACCCCAGCACAATACCTCCGTGTCCGTGCTCACCCTGCAGGCACCGTCACGGCCGAGGCATCAAGGTATAGGGACGAGCTGTTCGACCTGTTCAACATTCGGAAAGAAGGGAATGCGCGTCTCGGCAACTCCAGCGCAAGCACGGCGTTTGAAGAGGCCCCTGCCGTGGAGGATGTAATCCATGACAGTGACCTGTGACTACCCCAATACCAAGCAGGCATGCCCTTTTGTACGTGTAAGTTCCAGATCCTCGGATTGTGTGTGAACCCTTGAGTCCACCATGGCGTACCACACGCACAAAATGCAACAAGGTTTCCAGTTTGGGACTTCATCTGCCTAAAATTCCTGGTTTCCAAACACGTACAAATATCCTCGCAACATGCGTAACAGATCGATATCCATTAGACTATGCAGGAGCATGCCACTCAGCATTAATCACCGAATTTTGATGTATTACATTCCTCTGGTGTCGAAAGCATCTTGCCAGCGGGTGTCGCCCAGGGATCTTCAACCCTAGTAGATTTGCAACGGCGATGGCCGCGACCTCTACCAAGTCGGAGAAGGAGAAGATGCTCGCAGGCGAGTGTGCATTGCAATGAAGCTGACGTATTCAGATTCATTACAAGTTTGTAAGGAGCGACCGCTGCGGCAGGTGACGTATTGATCACTTCTGTTCTGATGAAATCCTACACAGGCGAGCTGTACTGGGCTGGCGACCCCCAGCTGCTAGCAGAACGCCGCAGCACACGCAAGCTCATGCGGCGATACAATCATGAGATCGACTATGAGGATGAACCCACCAAGCTGTCTGTGCTGAAGGAGATGGGCATCACCTTTGACGCGCAGCACCCCCCCTTCTTCGAGCCACCCCTCTTCTTGGACTATGGCTACAACATCACCGTCGGCAAAGAGTGCGCTGGGAAAGGGTATACTCGTTTGAACCGTGTCTTGATGCCTTTCCATTCAATAGTTCTAATCATCACGAGGCTGGCCGGCATGGTTCATGCAGCGCTAAGCTGCTGGCCATCTCCCCCTTGTGATTGCGCATGGCCACCATCTCGGCCCTCCACTTCCCTCCGCACCGTCAAGGTTCTACTGCAACTTCAACACCACGTTCCTGGACATCTGCCCCATCACCATCGGCGACCGCGTCATGCTGGCACCGGGCGTGCAGCTCTATGCCGCCTTCCACCCGCAGCACGCCGCCACCCGCAACGGCGGCCTCAAGCCCGAGCTGGGCGCGCCCATCACCATAGAGGACGACGTGTGGGTGGGAGGGTCGGCCGTGATCCTGCCGGGCGTCACCATCGGAGCGCGGTCCATCATCGCGGCGGGGGCGGTGGTAACCAAGAACGTGGAGCCGGACACCGTCGTGGGGGGCAACCCCGCCAGGGTCATCAAGAGGCTAGACCCAAACCAGGCCGCAGCCTGAGAATGATGGGGATGAGAACCAGCTCGTGAACCGTCTGAAAGATACTGGGTCCTACGAACGAATCCAGGAGGATCCTCACCCCCCTTGTTCAGCCCCCTGGCCTGCGAGAGTCCTGTCACAAAGCTAATTCCGGGTGTCAGAAAATGGGCACGAGAGGGGATGAGTGGCGTGGTGTGCCGGGGGGGGGATGGGAAAGTGCAGAGCCAGGAGATGAGGGAGCAGGCCAGGTGACTACACCCACAGCTTTCTACACGCTGTTGTCCTCCCCATCACTCAGGAGCCTGGCCTCCAGGTTGGAAAAGATGTCCTCATCAAAAGATTCCCAGCCCTCCCCACAGGGCTGGGCCCGCTGCTCAGTGCCTGGGACCTCCTCATTGGTAGACAGCAGGGCGACGATGACTGGGAGATCCTGGTCTGCCGCTTGGCAGGGAGCGTCGGGGTCCTCTAGCGCGGGGGGGTCAACGATCTCGGCCCCTGCTGAGTCCTGCGCTGTGCAGTCGCCACCAAGTGGTGCTCTCACTGAGGGGTCCAGAATCTCGTCCCTGATCTGCTGCTCGTCCAGCGAAATGGTCTCCGCGCTGATGTCCAGGCCAGGCGCAAGGGCCTCTTCAGGGGTGACAGGCACCGAGGACGCTGCTGCGCTTGAGCTGGCGTCCTCTGGCCCCTGAACGAGGCAGTGTGCATTCTCTGCACAGGCTGCTCCTTCTGACGCTTGGATGATGGATGTAGCAGAATGAAGGGGCTCTTGTGTTGCCGCCGAGCCTACACCTTCTTCAGGCTCTTTGCAGAGCCCGGCGTCGAACACAGGCGGAGGAGTATCGCCTTCAGAATCCAATGAGAGGTCCCCAGTTGCACATCCGCTGGCCAGGGCAGCGCCCGCCATCTTGGCGGCCTCAGCCGCCTCCGGCGCCTCGGTCGCCTCATCCACCTTCCCCAGCTCGGTCATTGTCGCCGGTTCGCCAGCCACGCCGTACTCAACACCATCTGCTGCTCTTTCTGCCACGGTCTGGACCATGGCAGAGACCACCTGCTCCACCTCCACCTGACCAGGCGCCGCTTCAATCTCCAGCAGTTGCTCCGGCACGGCAGCACTTTGCGTCTTGCCCTTGGCACCCCGTGGCGTGCCGAGGGCACGCTCAGCATTGCCCTTCTTCCTCGTCATGGCGGCCCGCTGCTTGGCCGCGGTGGCAGCCGCCTCCTCGCTCACCTGGGAAGTGGTTTGGGTGCGGGGTAGAAGTGGTTTTTCTGGGAGCGGACTTTTGCCGTGCGCTCCGTGCCGCGGCGCTCCATCCCCCGCCCTCCTCCTCCATGCCGCGACGGCACCGCACCCACCGGCTTCACCCCTGGTACCCACCTTCATCTCGCGCACGACCTTTTCGAAGAGCAGGACGAAGTCTCGCACGACGTGGACGACGTGTGCGGGGTCCGTCTCCTTGAAGGCCTCGCCAAAGTAGTCGGCCACCTGGTGCAGATCCTCGTACATGGCCTTCTCCTGGGCCTGCAAGGATGTTGGTCAGGGGGCATTGCAGCGCGAGTGTGTTTTTTGAGGGCAAACATGGGTGGCTAGACCATGCCAGGTGGCGTGTGGGAAGGCTGGCAGGGCTGGACTTCAGGTCTCTCACCATGCCAACTGGCGGGCCCACCCACCCAGACTATTCGCTGCTGCAGCTAATAACCATCCCCCCCAACCAATGCGCACCTCCAGGGCGCAGAAGCGGGTGGCGGCGTCCACGTGGAAGGCGGCCATGAGCTCGCTGAACCTGCGACATCCTGCCGCGTCCTCCTCCCCATGCACAGACTCGGCCGCGCAGCTGGCGTGCCCAGCGCGCGCAGCGTGCATGATCTCCTCGGTCACGCCGCGCAGGCCTGCCCTCAGCTCGTCGATCATGCCACGGATGCTGGTCAGCTGCAGGGTGAAGTGTGGGGGGTGGTGGGGAAGTGAGCTCCAAGCAGGGAGTAGGGTCAGGAATCGCCCAGATATGTAGCAGCAACTGCATTATCTGTGGTTCTCGTATTTGAATCAGTATGCTCAGGAGCCCAACAAGGCTCCTGCAGCTTCTCACGCCCACTCGCCTCTTCACCCAAGGTACCCGTTGGCCCTCCCTTTCTCGAGGCTCCTCCTCCCATCACCGCAGCGTGCCCCCTCCAACCCTCCTCTCCTTTCCTACACCTGTGACCTCGCACCTGCATGGCAGCCGCGGGCCGGACGGCGGAGAGCTGGGCGGGCAGCTGGACGACGATGTCGCCCTGGGCTGCCAACTGGCGGACCACAAAGTGCAGCAGGCTGGTCTTGCGGTCCACGCCCTTGACATCGGCCAGCTTGAGCAGGGTGTCCAGGCGGAAGCCGGCGGCCGCACCGCGGTGGGTCCCCGCATTCAGGTGGTTGCCCAGCTCCAGCACCGCCGTCAGCAGCTGGGTCAGGCCTGGGCAGGTCTGGAGCTGGGAGCAGGCGCTCTGCATGATGCCCAAATGGTCCTCGCACTGTGATGGTGGGTGGGTGGTTTGGATGGGAAGGAGGGGTGATTGGAGGCGGAGGGCCTGATGAAGAGGAAAATTGTGCAGGGCAGGCGAGGATATGAAAATATGTATGGTTCTTTGGTGAATCGTTTAGTCTCTAAAAATGGCTCTCGATTGGGTCTGCCCCTGTGCCTCCTGGCTTGCCCACCATCGTGTCTTGCAGTAACCCTCCAAGCAACAGCGAGCCCCATGCGTAAGCACTCCAGCCCCACCCCCATCCCCCTCACCAGGCCGGCGGTGCTGGCATACGTCCTGCTGAAGATGAGGCAGCGAATACGCTGCGCCAGGCGCGGGATGTCCTTGATCTCCAGGAAGTAACGCTCCACTGTGCCCAGGCGGTCTGGGTCGCTGACCCCGCGGTGTTTTGGGTGGCTGCCCTGCAGATACAGCTCCAGGTCGCGGCGCTCGCTGTCGTCGGGGACGGCCCGAGAAAGCGCACTCAGCTGCTCCACGCTCAAGGCCCCAGCATCCATGCTCACCAGGGCGGCCTGGGAAAGTTTGTGAGGTGGAGGGGGTGTACCGGGTATTCTTGGTGGATTGCAGTGAGTTCAAGGGCAGGGCGAGGGGCATGCAGTCCGTGCATGGCGGCCTTGGCACGCAGCAGGTCAGACTTGATTCTTAACACCTGCCCATTGATTGCCTCACAGACTCGTTCAGACATGCTCCAAGATCCAATACTATGTGGTTATTCAACACCTCCAGTCTCCCCCTCCCTTTCACAAAGTCACCCACCCCAATATCCCCACCTTGATGTCTGCAAAGGGCCTGCGGATGCCGGACAGCTCGATGCAAATGTTGTGCGCCCGGCGATGCTCCACCAGCCGCACCTCATCGCTCTTTGCGCCAGAGGTCAGCTTCTTCAGGGCATTGTTCTCCAGGATCTGGTGAGGCATGGTATTTTGTATGGAGTTTAGGGCTGGGGAACTGGGAGGACACGGGGTGCTCCTCGGGAGCGTCTCCAGCAGTCAGGCCAATCGTGCCACATGTAATACAGTGGTCCAGCCAACCCCCACCTGCCCTCTCATGACAGGAGCTATCACCCCCTCACACCCACGTCCCCTCCATCCCCACCTGGAACAGGGCCTCCAGCTCTTCGAAATTCATGGAGAGATGCTGCTCGCGAGCCAGGCGCCACACGGTGCCTTCACCCGCTGCCTTCAGCTTGTCCCAGTGCAGCTGCTTCAGTCGCAGCTTCTGGGCAAGCTGCTGCTGCACCGCCTCCCGTGTGCCACCCTGGGGGCCGATCGCCCCAGCCGAGGTGTTGACCGGGGCATTCTCGTCTGTCACGGGAGCGCCTTCTGTTGTCTTCGCACCTGCGGCCCAAGGGGGTGGGAGCGCTGCGATGAATGCACCAGCAGGCACCGAGGGCAGGGAGGCAGTGTTTGACACTCTGGCACACACAGCCCAGCCGTGGCGCCATCATTGGCCCCATCCCAGCTCCATGGCTCGCATGCAGACGGAAGGCACATGCTGTCGCGGCCCCACATGGACCCCGCACCAGACGTTGGGGCCTCCGGGCTGAGAGACAGGGTCTTGGCGACCCCATCGCCTCCTGAACTGGGATGTGCAGGCGTGGGCGGGGGTGCAGGAGGTCCCTTCTTGGCAGTGGCAGTCTTAGGGGGTGGGGGTGGCGGCGGTGGTCCTTTTCCCTTCTTTGCAGTTGTGGGCGGTGGCGGAGGAGGGGGGGCCGGCGGGGGCCCGCCCTTCTTCTTTCCCGTGGTCGGCGGAGGGGGTGGAGGAGGGGGAGGGGCCCCCTTCTTGGTCGTCGACGGCAGGGGTGGGGGCGGGGGTGGGGGAGGTGCTGGCCCCTTTTTGGTCGTGGAGGGTGGCGGTGGTGGGGGGGGTGGGGGGGGTGCGGTTTTCGGTTTTCCACTCGATTCGTGTGCTGGCGCCGTCGCATCGCCGCTGGAAACTGAGGCGCTCGGCTCGCCTCCACCCCTGGACCCTGTGAGTGGGGGCGAGTTGATATGAAGATGAGATTGTGTGATTGGGTTGGCGAGACATGCACAAGCACAGTCATAAGATGCAGTGTTGACGTATCAGGGATGCGCCCTCTACCCCAAGGTTCTTCATCATCATCGGTCACCCCACACACCTGCAATCTCCCCACCTCCTCCCCAGCCCCTTCCCAAACCACAACACACAGGCAGACCTGGTCCCGGGAGGCCCAGCCGGCTCGCCAGCACCTCCTCGGCGGCCCGCAGCGCCTGCCTCTTCTCGCTCTCCTGCCTCAGCCGGTGGGCATGTGCCGCCAGCAGACTGGCCAGGTCCAGGGGGGTGTAAGCGTTCGGCGCATCGTCCCCGGCAAACCCGCCGCCGGGCGGACCCTCGCCGCCCGGGCTGGGGAGGTGGCGCTGCATGTCCTCTGCTGCCTGCAGGAGGTCGTCCAGCGAAAGACCGGCGGGGAGGAATGCCGTCACGCCGTCCCCACCCTCCGTCCTGGGTTGGGAGGGGAGGGGGATGGGGGGTGAGCGAAGGGGCTGCCGCGCATGCTGCTCCAGGTGATGTGCAGAGCTCGATGCCATTGCCAGGCAGGCAAGTGCAAGGGGGAGGGGCTGGGTGCGTGCAGGATGCGCATATCATGAAACTGGGCAGGACAGGAGCATGCCCGACATGGTACATGCCACTGCAGCCGTCACCTCCCGCCCATGCCACCACTTTGCCATCTTCAACCATCCCAACAACCGCCGGACCCACTTTTGAACGACCGCTCCGGTTTCCGCGTGCACGTACAGCCCGCCGCCCAGTCCAGGCAGGGCTGCTGCGGCCACGCCGCCCTGTGCCTCGCCCGGAGCGGGCGAGTCGCCGCCGGCGGGCTCGCCCGCTCGCGCGTGCGGGTGCCTGGCGCCGTCCCTGGCGCGTGCGCGGTCGGCGTAGCCCCCGTTGCCGCGCGCGGCGCTGTTGGCCGGCGCCTTGCCGTCGGCCGGCCTTGGCCGGCCTGAGCTTGCGCAGGGCGGGCGGCGTCCGCCGCTGACCTCCTCCTCCGCGTCGTGGTGGTGTGCATCCGGGGCGTGGTCCGCCGTGCTGTCCAGGATCGAGGAGGAGGAGAGCGAGCCAAGCGATGCTTCTGCGATGGGGGGATGGTGAGAGAGGGACGATTGGCATGAATATCAGCAGCAAAGCAGGGAAATACAGGAGACAGATCTACGCAACCACTTTCACTCATCCCCTCGCACAGCTCCTCAACCCTCGCACCCCTGCACTCACTGCTGAGCGCCTCCTTGAGCGCCTGGGAGGTCATGAGGGGAGCGCCCGCCGCGTACCTCGCAGGGCCCCGGCGGCCGAGCGCCGCGCGCTGGGCCGCCGCCGACCGCGCCAGCTGCACGCTGGCGGTCAGCGGCACGCGCATGGCCTGGGTGCCCTCCGGCTGGGCGAGGTTGTCGTCAGGCAAGACGCCGGGCGGCATCCTTGCCGGGTTGCTCTCGCCAACTCGGCCGCGACCAGGCTCCCTCGCCGTGGATAGTGGCGCGGCGCCTCCACCCCTGCCGTCATCAGACGCCCCCATGCCCACACCCGGCGGCCCTCTGTCAGGGACGCCCGAACGCGGCCCCTCGTCCACACCGGGCCACGCATCTTCTGCGGTTGGGTCAAAGTGGGCGATGCCTGGTCCTCCTCGCGCAGCGCCCTCTACGCCATCCCTGAGCCTCTCCTCTCCTCTGACCGTGCCCGTCCTCGTCCTCGCGCTGCCCGGTCTGGCAGCGCCAAGGGAACCCACGCCGCCCGGTCCCAGAGGCAGCATGCGCTCGTCCTTTGCCCCGTCAGACCCAGCGCTCCGGTAGGCGGCCCCGGGGGTGAGCACTGCGCCCTCGGCCCCTGCCCCGCTGCCACCGCCAACTCCGCCTCCGCCACACCAATCGCCGCCGCCCTGCTCGCCGCCCGCCGACCCCAGCTGGAGCCGCAGGCGGCTGAAGCGCGTGCCCGGCTCACCGCCGACACCTGGCTCGCCGTCGACGCCATCCCTCTGCGCCCCATCATGCGCGCCTCGGGCGTCGCAGCCCCGACCCTGCTTGCCTGCGGAAGCCTGGCGGCCCAGCAGGCCACCGAAGAGGCTGCCCATGGCCGTGCCGAATCCACGGAACAGGCCGGGCGACTTGGTGTGGGCAGCGACGGGGCTGCCCGGCCCGCTTTCGGCGCCGGAGCTCCTGGCCACGGCAGCCTGCAGCGGGCCCAGTCCCCGGGCGGGGGAGGCGGCCACCGGACCCGGACCGGCTGACTGGAGGGCCAGGGCGGGGCCGAGGACGGTTCCCACTGCCGGCGCGCATGTCGCGGGCTGGGCGCCAGGCGGTCCAGCAGTCTGCGAGTCGCCAGTCTGCGGCCTGGCCTGGCCAGAGCCTGAGGCATGCGAAGGAGCAGTGCCCTGCTTTTGCATCGAGCCGGCTGCACCGCCCGCTCCATCGCTGCCAGCTCGCTCGTCTGCGACGTACGCCACGCTGCCAATGCCCTGCTGCACCTCTGGGAGCTCCCCAATGCCCATACCAGCAGCAGGGCCGCTGTGTTCCCAGCGCAGCTGGATCCGGGCTGCCCCGCCGGCGCGGGCCCGCGCCGGCGCGCCGGCGGCCGAGCCAGAGCTGCCGGTGCTGTCGGCGGGGCTGGCACCCGACTCCTGGCTGCGCGCGGTGCGGGGCAGGACCTCCAGGGCCGGGCAGTGGCGAGGGGTCCGGGGGGCACGGGTGGAGCGTTTTGCCACCCTCGCATTGGGACCTGGGTGGAGAAGAGGGCAATGAATTCAGCGCTTGCACGTGGTCGAGTGAGGCCGAGCATGCAGGGCGCAGAAATGCTGCGACGCATTCACAAACAGCCCGCAGCAGGGAGCAGAGTCGTGGGCGCCAGCGCTGCGCGCGGTGCCCGAGGCTTGGCCCGCGCCGCAGCGACCATGTCTGGTGGTAACAGGGGTGCCCCAGGAGGGTGCATCTTCCCTTCACGCAGCCTCCGCTGGTCCTGCCCACAGCGTTCCCGTTGCGCCTCCCTTCTCTCACCCGGGGGTCGCCAGGGCGACTTGTCGGGCCCTTCGGGCGCAGGCGGGCGCAGGGCGGCCTTGAGCTCCTGCTGCCGCAGCAGGATCGGGTGCAGGTCGATGTTGGGGGCGGAGCCGCGCGGCGTGCCGCCCCCTGCCTCGCGGCCCAGGCAGCCGGGAGGGGTGCCCGCACGACTGCCGCGCGCCAGGCAGCTGCCGCCCGACGCGCTGTTTGACCCGGGCGTCCGCTGGCTGGCAGGTTCGCCGCTGGGTGCGCCTGCTGGGTGGCCTTGAGAGCTGCGTTGTGGGTGTGAGTGGATGACTGCGAGTGAGTGGAGTGGGTGAGGCACGGCACACGGCGAGTGCGCAGGGGTCCACCTCCAGGGCACAGCGGCCCCTGCATCGTGCATCGATGCCATGTCCCTCCTCCCCCACGGCCGCCGGCACTCAACACAGCACCTTACCTGCTGGCGGCGCTGGCGGAGGGCTGGGGGGTGTAGTGGGCGGCCAGCAGCCAATCTGAGGCGGCCTTGGTCCTCATGGTGGTGATGGGGTTCACCAGGCGGGAAACGGCCGGCGCCGGCGGGGCGGCCGCGCCGGCCCTGGCCGGCTTGGCGCCCTGGCCGGCCCCGGTCGCCGCCGCCGCGCGTGCCACCACCAGCTCGCGCACGCGTGCCTCCAGCTTCTCGCGCCGGGCGGCGGCCGCCCCCGCATCCCCAGCTGCCGGACCCAGCGACTCCCCAAACACGGTCTCGAAATGCCTGACGCCGAGGTGTGGGAGGGCAGAGTCTGTGAGCGGCAGGGGTTTTCTGGGGCGGCAATGCTGGCAGGCATGAGATCATCGCCTGAGGTCCAGCCATGGCCAGTCTTCCCCAGGCCCTGCACACCCCTGCTCCTCACTCTATCATCTGCGCCGTCACCCAGATGGCGGCCTGCGTCAGCTGTCGCGGATCGGTGGCCTGCATGCTGAGCTCGGGTTGGAGCAGGGGGGGGCCCAAAGTCCTGGCGAGCCCCTTGCGCGTGCAGGCCGCGCCGGGGACGCTGACGAGGCGCTTGCAGTACCGCACCAGGCGACGCAGCAGATCTGGAGAGATGATGAGGGGCATCGGCTTGGGAGGAGTCGGCACGGTAGGGGAACAACGGCAGTGGAATTCAGTCAAGACGGGGTACCTATCCATGAGGCTGGCACAGAGCCCAGGTCAAGAGCATGCCAGGCCTACGTCACTGGCCTCGTTAAGCAATATGCCGCCCTCTGTAGACCCGGTATCAAGGTTGGCACTGCGGTGCGGTGCTGCAAGCTATGCCCAGAGTGTCTCCATCACCACTTCAGACCTAGCCACAGAGCAACCAGCCAACCCATTCCAAGTCATCAAGCAGGCGCCCTCACCATGGTGGACCCCAGAGCGGGAGCCCATGATCTGTGTGAGGCAGGACAGCTTCACTTGAGGTCCATCGCGGGAAAAAGCAAGGCCGAGGAGCTGCTGGCACGAACCGGGGTCCACCAGTGGGGTCCTCAGCGCCGCCAGGGACTTGATGACCAGCACAGAAACCGCCACCGAGTCCATGCCCGGATGCGATGTCCCTGTGGGAGGATTTGATTTCACGACTTGATTCAGAGCGAGGGGGAGGAGGGTAGTCGTTCTTCCTCTGCAGCAAGGGATGCTGGAGCCGCACCATATCAAGGCACTCCCACTGTGCATAAGCGTGACAACAGAGTACACTCCACAAAAATATTCTACTCACCATGCTCCAGGAGGGCTTTCTCTGCCCTGGCCACATCACCGCCTTTGGCCATGCTGACGAACAGCTCTGGAGCTGTCTCTGGAGAAACTGCACGGTCGTGCGGGTCGGAAACATCATGGAGACGGCCCGCAGGCATCAGACATCCGTCATCAGAAAGCATCCCACTTGCTAGAGGATAGCACTCTCATCCCGGCTGCACACCATGCGTTTGCAAGTACTCCACGGCCAGCTGCAGCAGTCGGAAGTTTGGGTCGGCCTCCTCCGGGCGGGAACGAGCTGCTCGGGATTGGAGCACCCCCCGCAGCTCGTCCCGCATATCCATTGGATGCAGCGTCCTTGCCATCTGAGAAGCTCAAGCCATGACTTGCACAAGCATGCGCGCCCACTTGCGAGCTTGCCGGAAGGAGGAGAGTCTATAACCCACAGCCCCGGCGATGCCAGGAAACAAACATGGACGATCCAAAGGTTCAATCGATGATCGTTGTTTGATTCTCTAAACCCTTTCTACACCTCCGTGGGCACCATCTCGCGCTCTTTTTCGGACTGGAGACAGATGGAGCAACATCAAAGTTGAAATCCATCGGTGGTACTACCGCGGTTTGGACTCCGGGGATGCGCGAGAAGGAAGGTGCAGGACTCGTGCCACATCAGCCTTCTGAGCGCTGCCTGGATGCATGGGAGCCCGAACCCACGCGATACCAGATCTCTGCGTGATTTCTTCGAGACTGCAGTGAGGGCGCGAGGGAGTATCCCTTCTGTTGTTGGTCGGCGCAGGTCACCATTGACCCTCCTGGGGCGCCAGAGACCCCGCCCAGTGACTTCTCTGGAGACTGTCTGGGAAGAAAGCTATGATTTGATTGCATTGGTATTGCGATTGAAGTCGGCAGGTCGCCACAGGCTGGTGCCAGAGAAGGAGTGATCTGGGCATGTGGTGCGCCCACACCGCGCTCTGGTGCATCATCCTCACACTTTTAGGGGCGCAGACAGTATGTAATGCGCATCCAATTGAGGTGCGCTTGTCAAGTGTCGATGGTGGTGCTGCCAGCGCCTGCACAGGACCCCCTCCTAACCTGCATTTCTCCTCTTCCTCGACAGACATGCCCTCTGGCTGATGGGGGCACCTGGGGCCAGGCCACACAGAGCACGGCTGCACGGCATGTGTCCCGCAAAGTGACGAAGCAGGACCTCATTGTCCGTTTTAAAGCTTACAAGGTTGCGAATGTGCATAAATCAGCCTTGTCGGAAGCCCTGGCTGGCAGTCCTTACGCTTGGTCATGGGTCAGCAGGGACAACCCTGCCTCTGCCTTTCCCACCGATTTTGGACTGCTGCGGGTGCTCTCCACAGAGATTGCCTCTGTAACGGTGCGTTTGAGTGCTGTATGAGCGTATTGTTCCCAAGGTGATATGGATGGGTCTGTTGCTCCGCCGGCTCAATCTTTCCCTGTGTTGCCTGGTCCCAAGGCGCTGCATCCATCCATACATTACCGCCCATGTATCCCAATGTCGGAGCGACAGGCACTGCTGGCTCTTGTCCCCGGGGTCAAGGATGTGCACCTGGATAAAGCGATGCGGCGGGAGCTGGCGCTGCCCTCCCCTGAGCCTGTGGAGCCCCTGGACGGCGGGCTCGTGAGGAAGCGGCCTGGACGCCTGCAGACGCGACCCACCATCGGTCTGTGGGAGGACGACTCGGCCGACATGGCATACGGGCGTGAGCTGCTGGCTGCTGCCGGGCCCACGCTCCCTGTGCGCCTGGGCGCCGACAAGATCTGGGAGCAGGGCCATTCCGGCAAGGGCATCAAGATGGGCGTATTTGACACTGGGATCCGGGGCAACCATTCCCATCTCAGGAACATCAAGTGAGCATGAGGGGGTGCGGCAAGGGGGTGGGAGGGCGAGCTGTCTGGGGGGAGGTGAGCGGTGTCAGAGGATGGGCAAGGTGTCAGGGTCCAGAGAGTCGAGTGTAGAGGGGTCAGGGGCGCCTGGAAGGGGGTCATGGAGGTCTCAAGTCACCTGATCGGAGCAGGATTGCGGTAGGCTGTGCTTGTGCGGATACGGTAGAGGAGCTGTTACCCAACTCTTCCCACACGCTGCATCTCTACGAGCATCCGCATCCCTCCCATACCTCGACAGGGAGCGTACCAACTGGACACTGGAGCCGACGCTGGAGGACGGGCTGGGGCACGGCAGCTTCGTGGCGGGCGTCATCGCAGGCATCGACCCCGAGTGCCCGGGCCTGGCCCCAGACATCGACATGCACTTCTTCCGCGTCTTCACCAACGACCAGGTGTCCTACACCTCCTGGTTCCTGGACGCCTTCAATTACGCCATAGCCTCCAGCATGGACATCGTCAACCTGTCCATTGGTGGGCTGATTTGGATTCTGGTGGCAGGAGGGAAAGGATTGCTGAAAGGTGGGGGGGGTTGTTTGGAGGTACTACCGACGTGCATGTACACACCCCAACTTTGACATCATTGTCCCCCTCTGAACCCCTCATCACGGACCCCCTTCAGGAGGCCCCGACCACCTGGACGCCCCGTTTGTGGAAAAGGTGGCGGAGGTCACGTCTGCAGGCATCATCATGATCTCTGCCATCGGTAACGACGGCCCATTCTACGGCACGCTGAACAACCCGGCAGACCAGGCCGACGTGATTGGCGTGGGCGGCATCGATTTCTCAGACAGGTGTGTGCTGGGACCCCTGGTGCTGGGTGATCCGCCCTTCGGTTCAGGACGGCGCAGGGTGAGGCCCCTGGGTTCACTGCCTGGACGACAGGGCGCTTCAGCAGGAGTCTGCTCCATGCCCGCAGCGCCGCGCTGCCCCGCGGCATGCGAGGTGCTGACGCATGGTCAGCACGGCACACAATCACATCTCTCCCCTCCCTGGACATTCTACACCCCAAGTGCTCGTCCCTGTCCATCATGGGGTCACGACTCCACCCGCCCCCTCAGCACCCTCACCCCCCCTCCCCTACACCTCCAAGGATCGCGCCCTTCTCCTCGCGCGGCCTGACCAGCTGGGACTTCCCGCGTGGTGTGGGCCACTTCAAGCCCGACGTGGTGGCGTACGGCAAGGATGTGCGCGGGTCGCACATGCGCGAGGGCTGCCGCTCGCTGTCCGGCACCAGCGTCGCCTCGCCTGTGGTGGCGGGCGCGGTGGGCCTGTTGGCCAGCACCATGCGCAGCAAGGCCGGCGGCCGGCTGAACCCCGCCGCCATGAAGCAGGCGCTGCTGCGCGGCGCGGCGCGCCTGCCGGGCGTGCCCGCCGCCGAGCAGGGCGCGGGGCGCATTGACCTGGCCGCGGCCGCCGCCGCGCTGGCCGAGCTGGAAAGCGCGCCGCGCGCCAGCGTGCACCCCGAGGCGCTGGACCTCGCCGACTGTCCCTACATGTGGCCCTACTGCGGGCAGCCGCTGTACGCGGAGGCCATGCCCACCCTGGTCAACCTCACCATCCTCAACGGGGCCGGGCTGGTGGGGCGGCTGGAGGGCAGCCCGGTGTATGTCCCCACGGATGAGCCGGGGCGGGCGCTGGACGTGCAGTTCGAGGCCTCGGAGGTGCTCTGGCCCTGGTCCGGGTACCTGGCGCTCTACATCAGGTGCGGAGGGGGGGTGCGCTGGGGATGCATGTGGGGTGGCACCCTCTGGTGGCGCTGTGAAAGGCAAGGGCACGCTGGCACATGCCAGAATGGGAAGTTGCTATGAGTGGCGGGCCGGCTTGTCCATGCGATGTGGCATGGGGAATCTCCGCATGCTCTCAGGCGGCCCTCATTGGCCAGGAATGGCTGCAAAAACCAGTCATTGGATGCACCATCCCTCCCTTCTCAGAGTGAGGCCGGACGATGCCTTGCTGGAGGCGACAGCACACGGCGAGGTGCGGCTCACCGTGGTGTCGGCCCCTGGGCCGGGGGAGAAGGAGGACAGGCGCTCAGACATCGTGGTGCCCCTGACCGTCCCCATCATTCCCACGCCCCCTCGGTGAGTGGCGGTGGGGCGAGGGAGATGATCCATTGCGCAGGTGTTCTTAGATCTTGGGTTGTTCCCTTGTCAGAAGTTGTATCACGGGGTCCACTCTTCTCAGCCATGCGCCCAGACAGTCTCATAGGCATGCCCTCAGCCAGCCTGCTCCCTGCTCCTCCCCTCGCCTGCGCTCACCCTCTACTTTCCACATTCATTGTGCATTGCAAAAGGAAAAAGAGGATCCTCTGGGATCAGTACCATTCCATCGCCTACCCTCCGGCGTACATCCCAAGGGATGACCTCACCACGAGGCAAGACATCTTGGACTGGCACGGCGACCATCCATACAACAACTTCCATGGGATGTTGGACCATCTGAGGTGTGTGGGTTGGGAATGCGGGCATGGCATCACCCATAGAGCAGCAGTCGGTGGGGAGCCGGTGAATGTTCATGAACAAGCCAGCTGGCATCCAGAAGAGCTCGTCGCGAGTATTTGATAATCTTTCACATAAACCTCGACATACATCTAGGGAGCGAGGGTACTACCTTGAGATCCTGGGGTCTCCCTTGACATGCTTCAACGCATCCCAGGTCTGATTGAGGCTCAGGGTGGTGATGTGACGGGCATGCTGTACGCCATGTGTGCATTGTTGGCACACTCGGCCCCACTAGCATCTCTCGGCTTTGGAATCCAAGGGCGAGCCATCACCCGCAATTTCCCTGCTTCGTTCCTTTGCAGTACGGCGCCCTGCTCATCGTCGATTCTGAGGAGGAGTTTTACAAGGAGGAGATTCAGAAGCTGCGCCAGGACGTCGACCTGAGTGGCCTAGGTGATGCGAGGGCTAGGGTGCAGGGGTTGGGGTTGTGCCAGCCTTACATGAAGGTTGACACTCAAGGAGGACACCCTGTACTGTGCTGACTGGTGTGGTGAAGGCATTTTTTGCCATGGCGAAGGCAGTGTGGGGCCCTGCCATCAACATGTGCATGCCACCTGACCACTGCGCAGGTCTGATTGTCTTTGCGGACTGGTACGACCTGGAGACTATGAAGGGGGTGCGCTTCTACGACGACAACACCCGCAGCTGGTGGGAGGCCGCCACAGGTGGGAGGCAGGGGATGATCGGGTGTGAGGGATGAGAAGGTGGCCGCATGCCCGGCAGGCGCACAGTCCTCTCGCGACAGAGAAGAATCGAGCCATTCTTTTCTCCACCTGGCGCCATGCCTGGTCTCTCAGAGGCAATCCACGTGTCTGGGGTCTTCTCAACCTCCCCCAATGCGACATTGCCAACTGGCAGGTGGGGCCAACGTCCCGGCGCTGAACGACCTGCTGCAGCCCTTCGGCATCGGGCTGGGGGGACCTGTCCTGGAGGGCACCATGGAGCTGCCCGGGGGTGAGAGCGTGGCGCTGCAATCTGGTACGGCGGTGATGGCAGCGCCACAGGGCGCCTGGCTCTACACCGCCACGACCCCAGGTGTGTTGCGGGGCTGTGTTTGGGGCTGTTACATCAAGTAGTTTCAATCTTTTGAAGAGACAACTTGTGGTGTCTGTCATACTGCCCGCCATCTCCGCCTGGTATCCCACTGTGCACCCGCTCCCCCACCGCAAGCAGGAGTCAAGGGCAAGGGGCCCGGTGTGGCCACTGCAGCGCTAGCCCTGCTGCGCTCCGGCATGGGGACCGTGTCCGTCTTCGGCGACTCCAACTGCCTCGACTCCAGCCACCAGAAGGCAGCGTGCTGGGGCCTGCTGGACGGTCTCCTGGCCTTTGCCGGCGGGGTGAGGAAGCGTGCACTGGGATGGAGGGGAGGGGGAGACGGAGGTGGGGGATGTGGGCCGGGTGAGGGCCACCCTTCTCGAGCACCGTCCTCAGCCCACCAATGCATCCCCACCCACCGATCATCGCCAGGAGCCGGAAGGCCTGAGCCACGCCGACGGAGCCCTGGGCCAGGCGCATGGCTCCCTGGCGGGCCTCCCAGCTAGGAACCCAGACTACGACTTCAAGCTCGTGTCCCGCGTGCTCACAGAGCCCCTGAGGTGCGCCGCCTGAGCTCCTGATCGGCAGGGGGGTTGATGGCGCCTGGCGCTGCGGCGAGCTCATGCGACCCCGCCCGTGGATCTGACCCACATCCGGCGAGCCCACCGCCCCGCACCCGCCCGCAGGTGCTACCCCAACGGCGCCGCGGGTCTGCCCGGCGCGCTGCCCATCCCCGGCCCCAGGCCCGGCCCCGAACCCCGAAAGGGGGACGGTGGGAGCGAGACCCTGGACTCGCGCCTGCGTGACGTCGCAGCGCAGGCCAATGCCAGCGCCGAGGCTGGCGAGGGCGAGGCCTCCAAGCACTGTGAGTTCAGGGCAGGCTCTGCGGCCTGACTTGGGTACAAGGGGGTGGGAATGGAGGATGGATGGGATGGGGGACGCACACCGGACCTCAAAGGAAGGCATGCCGCGCCGATGCAGGAACTCCCTGCATACCAACCCTCCAGGGTCGTTGTTGGGTCCCTGTTTGGGAGCTCACCGTCCCAACCACCTGCTGGTCCCCCATCCCCATCACAATCCATCATTCGTTGCCCCCCACCCCCCCCTTCCATGACCAGACGTGCGGCAGCATCCCAGCCTGCTCCCAGCCATCTCTACGGGCTACTCGAATGCCGCCCTGGGGTTGGCAGTGGCCGGCGTGGCGTTGCTCATGGCCCTCATTCTGGCCAGACGGCGGAGTGCAAAGGGCGCCGTGCTGCCCCCAAAGACACGAAGCCTGGGAGGGATCAGCGGGGCGAGGCGACGCAGCGTCACGAACGTCGCGTCATGATTGCAAGCGGCAACCCCTGTGCGTGTGACGGAGTTGATTTACAAGACGTACCCAAAGCACAATGCTGCTTGCTTGCCCGACATGACTGTCAATGGACCTCTGAGAAGCTTCTCTGAGTAAAAGGGCGTAGCATGGGGGCTGGTGTTGACAGCTCGACCCCGCCATTCATCGGGGCATGGAAGCGCGATGTATGAAAGCCAAAATTTTGGCACCAGTGGTCCACGTGGTCTGTCGTCCCATGGCGCGCAGCTCGCAGAAGGGTTGATCCGCGGTAATGCGCCTCACCACACAGGCGCATACATAAAACATGGCTCGAAAGTGCAAACACCATCGCTTGTCGTCGACTGTGGGGAACGGCATTGCCTGTACTCCCGTGCATGGACGTATGTCGCTGCCGTGACCATAAGTGCATGACATGACGGCCGGCAGCCCCATGGCATCCAAGCATGTGCTCATTCTTGGGGGCACCGGCCGCGTGGGGTCCTCGACTGCAGCATCCTTGCTGCGGACGCACCCTGACATCCGGATCTCCTTGGGGAGTCGGGGCATGGAATCCCATGGCGCCGCAGTGCTGAGGAGGCCAGAGCTGCGTGACTGCCCCTGGATCGGCTGCGACGCTCGGGACGCGCACAGCCTGGACAAGGCTCTCTCCAGCAGCGGCGTGGACCTGGTGGTGCATGCGGCTGGCCCCTTCCAGGGCGACGCGGCCTGCTCCCCCCTGGAGGCGGCCATCCGGCATGGTGTGCCCTACATGGACGTCTGCGACGACGCGACGTATGCGCAGCGCGCCAAGCGCCTGGAGCCGGCCGCCAGGGCGGCGGGGGTGCCCGCCCTCTCCACTGCCGGCATCTTCCCAGGTCTCAGCAACGTCATGGCAGCAGACATGGTGACTCGCCACGCGGGCGGGAGGGCCCCTGCCCGAGTCCTGTACTCCTACTACACTGCCGGGACGGGGGGCGCGGGGCCTACGATCCTGGAGACCACCTTCCTCCTGGCGGGGCAGGATGTGGTGGTGTACCGGTGCGTACTGCTGAGGGTTGGTAATGTGGGGATGGGGACTTTTGAGGCAGCCACCGGCCGAGGTCCTGCCATCGCGGCCTTGTCCAGGTGCGATGCACCCTTGCACCATCAATCTGCTACCGTCTGTTCTCTGCTACCGGCTGTTCTCAGATAGTTTACACCTACTTTTTCAAAACCAACAGGGATGGCAAGCAGCTCACTGTGCCAGCCATCAGCAACAGGCGTCCTGTGGACTTTGGGACCACTATCGGGACCAAGTGCGCACATGTAGAGGACCTGGTTGTGGACTCTGCAGGGCCTTGCTGACCATGGAACCGCCTCGACCAGGGCGGAGTCCTGACAATGGATTGCCTGCCCACGAGAACCGTCGTGCTCAACCATATGCAAGCCGGCTCTGCATGCACATAACGGCTCACTATCCATCCAATTGCAGGTCCGTGTACCTCTACAACCTGCCGGAAACGCACACTGGCCGGGCTGTGTTCCAGGCCCCCAGCATCAGTGCCCGCTTCGGGATTGACCCCGGCGTCTTCAATGTCGCCATGATCCTGGTCGCCCGCCTCTTGCCGAAGCGTAGGGAAGGAGGTGGCGTGATGGGCAGGGTGGCACAGCATTGGCACCTGCTTCCCTACGATGACCAAAGGAGCAGGCAGGCGACTATGGTCCTGTGATTGTTGTTGACATGCCAAACATTCTCTTAAGGACTTTTATGGTGCAACTCAGCCGTGACCAAATGTTCCTCAACTCCAGGTTGGCTGGAAGATCGTGCCCTGGTGCAGACCCTGGCCAAGCTGACTGCGCCCCTGGTGGCCCTGGTGGATTGCTTTGCTGGCGACAGGGTGGGCATGCTGATCGAGGTCGAGCTCGAAGGTACAGTCGATGAGAGTGTGGATCTGTCCTACTCCTTTCTGGGTTTATCTGATCATGCCAACATTGAACTTCTACAGTTCAGCAATTTGTCAGTTCTTGAATACTTGACGATGTGTGACAAGGCGCACTCAATCCCAAGCGTGCATCATTGGTTCAAGTTCGATCTAGGATTTGGTTTCCATGTCCAACTCCCAAACCATGCACAGATGGAAAGGTGCTGGCCAGCCTGTACGTGCACGACCACCTGGCAGAGGGCATGGGCGCTGCAGTGGCAGCCTTTGCAGCCTCAATGCTCAAGAGTGAGTGGTTTCTTCCTTGCCCCATTTCTGTTTTCAAAGCCAGATAGATATGCTTGGCTCCGCTGGACTGATACAAAGCTCGCAGTGCATGCCAGCTCCGTGGGCAGCATCCTCCACGGAACGTGAATTCTTCCAGCCCTCAGCCTTCCCTTCCTGCCCCCCTCCCAGACCCCCCACCCCCCCGGTGTCTGGTACCCAGAGGAGGCATGCTCGGTGCCTGACCGCTCCGCCTTCTTCTCGGCCGCGTCGGAGGGGGCACGCACCTTCCAGCTGGGCCGGGCCGCCTGGGAGATCGGCAGCACCCCCCGCCGCTTTGGCATGGGCATCTACCTCTGAGCCTGGTGTGCTGCTGTGCTGCCGGCGAGTGCAGAGTGTGAGGCGAGTGGCCTGGGACCCCTTTGGTGAGCACGCGAGGCCGGCCCGTCACTCACGTTCTCAGTACGTCACGCGCGTGCCTGCCCAGGCATCAGCAAGGCCGCAGCTGAGCGCAGGGGGGTCATGGTACAGGGCGATCAGGCATGAATCAGTGCTTGGCATGCCCGCCCTCCCAGCCGTAGACCACCGCCAGGAGCTGGCAGAAGGCCAGGAAGGAGCAGACGCCGACCAGCCAGATGACGGTGGCCTCCAGGACGCCAAAGTAGGAGTCGTGCGCCTGCTGGCGCAGGATGTCCAGCATCTCCTTCATCACCCCGAACCGGTCGTTGAGCAGGGTCACGCGCTGCACCACCTCCATGTAGTCAAAGATGGAGCGGTAGAGGGTGCAGATGTGGTCGTCCGCCTCGTCCAGCGCGGACGGCGCGTCCAGGAGCTGGGTCAGCAGGTTGACGGAGCGCTGCTGCAGGAAGAGCTGGCCCATCAGCTGCATCACCGCGCGGCCACCCACATCGATCTCACCCTTGTCTGGGGATGGGCAGGGGGAGGGAAGTGGTGGAGGTCGGGGATGTGGCAGTGTGAGAGGGAGCGTGCACGTGAGCCCCCTCCCTGTGACAGATCACCACTCGCCCTTCATGATCCCAACCCAGACGCTCACCGGCCATCATGGCGGGGAGGTAGGACACCGACCTCCCGAGGCTGCGCAGGTCCTCCTCAAACACGCTGAGCTTGGTGGACTCCGCCAGGGCAAAGCTGATGGCCAGCTTCACGTACAGCTCGTCCGCGTGGCGGTAGTGCAGGGAGATGGTGTCGTCCTCAATCACGGCCTTGGTGACGGCCGAGTAGGTGACCAGAACACGGTCCCGCTCGATGCGGTCGGGCGGCAGGGGGCGGTCCACACACGGCATCACCAGCTCGTTCAATATGTACCTGCCAGGGAAAGCAAGGAGGGGCGAGGCAGGGAGTAGGGTCCCAAGACGGGGCTTCACAGGGTACTGCAAGGGGTACTGGTGCACTCCCCCCACTTCGATCCTGAATCTGGGGCACAGCGTGCGTACTGCACCGCCCTCGACCCAACCAAATCGCATCCGCTGCCCGCCAGCCGCCCACCTCAATCCCTGTATACACCTCTGTCCCTACCAAGCTGCCCAAATTCAACCATGCCCGCTCCCCGTTCCTTCTCACTTCTCTGCGTCTGTGTCGAGGCCCCAGAACACGACGACACCCGAGTCGAAGAAGAAAATGTCCGCATTCCCTTTGCCCTTGCCACCCCGGTGGTACTGTATGCAAAGCACCTGTGTGGCGATAGGGGAAGAACATCAGGCGTTGAGTGGGAAGCGACCGCCGTGTCTGGCCAGCCTTAAGTTGTGCCGGTGCCATGCGCGCGCCCCCTCCCAACCCCCACCCACCCCACGTCAAGCACCGAGACCTACATCAGAGTAGGCTCGCAACGTGGCATTCCGTCGCAGGATGGCGTCTTGGAGGGCGTACCGGTCAAACCCGTTTGCGACGCAGTAGCTGCGCACCCGCACCGCCTGTCCCAGCCCTTGATATTGCACGGGCACCTCAGGCGGAGCCTCCACCGGCTTCTCCACGTCCAGGGGACTCTCCCATCCAGGACCCAAGGAGACGATGCGGCCCAGGGGTCGGACAGTGGAGGTGGAGGAGGGCAGACGCTGCGCAGTGGGAGGACAGAAGGGGAGGAGCAAATTGCCCAGTGCGGATCCCTTGAAGGGGGCACCCGAAGAAAAACCTAGCCCTGTGGACCACACTCGATGCGTGTCCCAGCCCACCCTCAGCTCTCGGACGCTCGGGACGGATCTACTCCTCTGATGGTCGACGGTTCTCGTCTCTGCTTCAACCTTCTCCTCCTCGACGGTCTCCACTGCCAACAGCACCTCCTCCCCTGGCGCTGACATGCCCGGCGTGAAAAAGCTGCAGCCTCGTCACATGCTTCAATATACAGAACTCATGATGAAGCGCACTCGATTTGCATGCTTGAACATAAAATCCTCCTTCCCTGTCCCTGCGAACCCGAAATTGCAGAAACCTGGCCCCGATCGACGGGCGACAAAGATCTCCCGGCTTGGCGCCAACGCTCATGTGGCCAAGTGCAGGCTCGCCTGCGGACCTGCCTGGGCTACCTGCCCTGCATCACCCTGCTGCCACCATATCGAGAAGAGGATAGTGTGTGACAGGCCTACAGGCGTGCGAGTGATACCCGATTTCCAGTGCTATCAGGCGCCATCCACCTGAGCCCTCTTGCGGGACGGGCGATTAGGGCGGTACAACGCACGATTGGCAGCTGTAGACTGGCGTTGTGAGGAGTTTAGGAAGTACACAATGGTGAAGCTCGTCAGGTAGGTTGGGAATGTGATGCGCAGCGCGCAACGCTATGCACGGTGGCTCGAGTGCCGTCGCTTCTCAGGGCACTGCTCTCGGTGCTCTGAGGTGTTCATCTACCACATTTACACAGATTCCTGATGAAGCTGTCGAATGAGAAGGTGCAGATCGAGCTGAAGAATGGAACGGTGGTTGCCGGCACCATCACCGGTGAGTTCCCCGCAGTCTCCGGCGGGATTGATTGCTGGGCCAGGTACACAAGCTGTCGTGGGTCTACCTCTCACCCTCCCATGCCTCTTCCCCCGCGCGCACAGGCGTGGATGTGGCCATGAACACCCACCTGAAGACCGTCAAGCTGGTACCCCGCGGTGGCACCCCTGTGTCCCTGGACCAGATGTCCCTGCGTGGGAACACAATCCGCTACTACCTCCTCCCCGACTCCCTCAATCTCGACACCCTGCTGGTGGACCTGGACCAGGCCAAGACACGACCCAAACGTGCAGAACGGCCGGCAGGAGGAAGAGGGCGCGGCAGGGGGCGCGGCCGTGGCCGCGGAAGGGGTCGTGCTTGATATTTGGGATAATGGCATACAGCAAGTCGCCACTGAAGCATGGCACCAGCTGCTTCAGCGGATGGCCTGCCCTCATGGACTATTGCTTGCTCAGTCCCGGCAACCCCTGCGCTCCGTCTCACTGTGCATCACGGACTCTTCGCATGCATGGCAACTGCTGACTGTAGCATCTGTGACACTGACGCTCAAGCACACGGCATGGGAGAGGTTGGGGTCCCGGGATCCCTATGAAAGCTGTCGTCAGAAGGTCCCTTTCTTGGGATCGGATGCCCTGCGTACTGCCCTGTTGATTTCCCCATTTCCGACCAGGCATTTGGTACCAGCCTCTCCGATACCATCCCGGGCAGAACCGGATGACGCCTTGACTCGGCACATTCCCATCCCACGACCCCTGCTGATCTACAACTACCCCACCATCGAACAAACTGCGTCTGTACGCCCCCCTTGCGTTCCATAGCCGGAGGCTGTCTGGGAGTGGCCTGTTCAAAAACTCCGACACGGCAGCGCACCGTGAGACGCGAGATCCAGGCACCATGGTGCACGGCTCGCGACTCTGTCTCTTGTGTACGATGGGACTTGTTTCCCTCGTCACCATCGGGGCGGCCTGGGGAGTGGAGGGAAGGGGCAGGAATTCGAACCCCACCTCCGGGTCCTCGTGGAACGCATCTGTGACCGTGAACCTGGGGGCGACCCATCCCGTCAGCAAGACCCTGTACGGCATCTTCTTCGAGGAGGTGTGTCTTCTGCCTGCTTGGGGTCGGGACCAGTCCACATCGAGCCTGTACTTTGCAGGTTTCCAGCCCATCGGGGAGTTGACCGCTTCGTCATTCCCCTCCTCAGATCGGTCATGCCGGCGAGGGTGGGCTTTATGCGGAGCTGGTGCAGGACAGGAGCTTCGACGCCATCGCCAGGGTCTCTGGATTTGCCTCCTCCAATGCGCCTGCCCTGCCGGTGGACCTCGCCAAGCTGGCTGCCCAGCACCGTGACGCCTGGACACCCACCAGCTGGGACCTGAGCGTGGCAGAGGCCGCTACCACCAAGGCCGATTTCCTGGACAAATTGCGCGGCCCAGGTCCACGGTGGGTGCCTGGCCTGGAAGAGATGCCAGGGCTGGTGCCGCAGGAGCTGGGCGGGTGGCCTAGTGTGGGTTTGCTGCAGGCCTGAGGAATCCCCACCAAATCCTGGCGACCCGGCCCATGCTGCCTCCCCCATGCACCTACTCCACACAGGAACGACATCATTGTGGCGTGGCAGGCTCTCCCTGGCACCACCACATCACTCACCAGGGACAAACCCCTGAACCCTACCAATCTGGTGTCCATGACCCTCTCTGCCACCGCCAACGGATCGGTCGGCATCGTTAACCATGGCTACTGGGGCATGCACGTCGAGAAGGGGCAGTCCTACACGGTCTCACTCTATGCCCGGGCCGGCGAGGTGGGATGGGCGAGATTGTTTGGGGTGTGATTGCCAGTGCAGAGGGTGCGGAGTGAGACGCGGACACCATGTCTGCCGTGGGTGCTTTAGTACTGACCCTGGGTCTGGGTCAGGGCTGCAGCATGTCCATGTCTGGTGTACCCTTATATGCCTGCCAAGCCTGGCCAGCTGCTGAGCCCTGCAGACCACTCTCCCTCCATGGCAGACGGGCCCTGTCCCTCTGACGGTGTCCATACTGGGTGCATCCCTGAAGCACACCCTGGCCTCCGTGGATCTGAACCCACCCTCGGAGGACTGGGGCAGGTTAACGGGGACGCTGGAGCCCAATGCCACCGACTCCGGTGCCGTCCTGGTGGTGAGATGGAGGTGAACAACAGAGGTGTGACTGATTGTGCTCAAGAAGTTGTACTGCTGCGCACATATCCTGTGATGGGGCTGGCTAGCAAGTTACCTCATACCTCCTCTCGACCCCACGACGCCTTGTGCCCCTGCCAGATGAGCTTTGAGGGACCCGGCTCTGTGGTGCTGGACGTAGTCTCCCTTTTCCCCACTGAGAACGTGAAGGAGGCTGCCGAGCGGGGAGAGGTGAACCCCTGGCCCTTCAGGGCTGACCTTCTCGGTGCCCTCAAGGCACTCAAACCAGCGTGAGGGGCTCTGAATGGTGTTTGGAGCTTTGGAATATGGGCTTGATGGCGAGGAACATTGGGTTATCGCAGAGCATGGGCATTTGTGCACCGAATACAAGGGGGCGCACGATGGACAGGTCTGTTCCTGTGCACAGGCTGTAGGCTAAACCAAATCATCACTGCACTTCATGGCAGACAGCTCATTCCCAATCACACTCTACACTCTGCTGATGCAGTTTTATGAGGTTCCCTGGAGGCTGCTACATCGAGGGTGACCACCTGGTCAACCGCTTCAACTGGAAGGACAGCATCGGGCCCTTGGAGGAGCGATCAGGACACATGAACGGTGGGGCTTCTTGGCGATTGGCGATGGTACTGGTCTTGCAGCTGCACCTCCTGCGTTTCTGTCGGCTGGGCGTCACGGGGAGTTGCCATGGCTGCTGCCCCTCCCAGGCCTCCTCTTCTTCCTGACCACCCACCGATATACTCCCCCATGCACGACGCCTTTTAAGGCGTCTGGGGCTACTGGTCGACGGACGGCCTGGGCCTGTTCGAGTACATGCAGCTGGCAGAGGCCCTGGACACAGAGCCGGTGTGGGTGATCAACAATGGCGTGGCCCACGCCGACAGTGAGCGCTCGGGGGCAGGGGAGGACTGCGCAGTCGACTGCGTGGAGGGCGCCTCGTCGAGGATCGACCACGCGATATGCAGGGCGCCGCAGGCTGCAAAGCAAACTGCACCCACTGGATCAGCAACAGCGTACTTCCAAAGTCTAATGCCTGTACTCCTGTGTTCTGTTCCCACAGATGATGAATGAGAGCGCCCTCACTCAACCCCACCCACTATCACTCTCGCTCAAACAGGTGTGCCGGCATCGGACATCTGGCCCTACGTCCAGGACGCCCTCGACTCTCTGGAGTTCATCCTGGGCTCCCCTGACTCCCGCTGGGGCTCCGTCAGGTCGAGCATGGGACGGGAGCAGCCCTGGAACATCACCTATGTGGCCATCGGCAACGAGGACTGCGGGAAGTGGATGTACCTGAACAATTACCTTGCCTTCTTCGGCGCCCTGCGCGGCGCGCATCCCCACCTGCGCCTGATCAGCAACTGCGACATGGGCCGCGATGCGCCCACTGACATCTGGGACTGGCACATATACACCAACCCCCGCGACCTCTTCAACAAGCGCAATATCTTCGATGGGCGGAGGCCGGAGGTGGGGTCAATTAGGGGGGATTTGGGGAGGGGGGGGGTTGGAAAGGGGGGCGCCCAGGGCTGCACGCGTATGAATGCAGAACTGAAAGGATTTGGGATGGGCCAAAGGAAGTGCTCGAGAATCACGCGCCGCTCGTCGCTGCCTGCTTCCAGACCATGCGTCTATGCAAACAACTCTCAATCACTTTGCGGATCATGACCACAGCCCATCCCCGCAACCTCCCTCCCCCCCCCACACACACACTTGGTATCAGGACGGCCACTTTGTGTTTGCGTCCGAGTACGCCGTCACCGAGGGCGGGGGCTGGGGCAACCTTGTCGGTGAGCGCGGGAGCGCTGCCTGGAGGGGAGTCGGCTGGGGCGACGGGACGTGCTGATCTTCAAACGGATTGAAGCTGGGAGACAGAGACCACTGTCTCACCACATTTTCCCCCTCGCATCTTTCCACCTCGATCCCCGGAGCAGGTGCTGTGGCGGAGGCGGCCTTCATGACGGGGCTGGAGAGGAACTCGGAGGCAGTGGTGATGGCCGCCTATGCGCCCCTCTTCGTCCACACCAGCAACCGCCCCTGGCCCACCAACATGATCGTGATCGACAACCACCGGTGAGACTGCAGAGGAGGGAGGGGTCCACAGCGGATGCTCAGGTTGAGGAGTACTTCCCTGCTCTGACTTGGCCAGTTGGCTAGAGGAGGCGCTGTGCAGGCCTTTTACTCCCCCTGACCTGATGTCTGTGGCATTAAAGTTTGGGCTGCATTGTTTTACCCACGTGCATCCAGCCTCGCCATGATTCCAGCATCTACCCACCCCACTGATGATGGTTCTGCCCTTCAATGCTGTGACTGTCCTCCCTCCTTGGCGCCTCTTTCCATCCTCACAGGTGGTTTGGCATCCCCTCCTACCACGTGCAACGTCTCTTCCGTGAGAACCAGGGCGTGCGGTATGCAGAGACGGCGGTCGCCGCCAGCCCCAGTGCCCAGGTGAAGCACCGTTGTGAATGCGATAAAGGTGCCTGGCCCCTGCATACCTTTTTAATTTGGTGGTCGGATGGAGGCAGGCCCAGCGTATGCTCGCTGCCTGGGGGGGAGAGGGAGAAGGTGGAGGTAACAACTTTAAATGCCTTAGGCTGCCAAACCTAACGCACTGCGGCTCAGCTGGTGTGTTCCTGGTGGAGGGCTCCCCTAGGGTTTCTCCCCCCGACAACTCTAACACCAAACACCCACCAACCCTCGCAAACCCCTCCAGCTGCATGAGGACTCGGTGGCGGCCTCTGCCACCTGCCAGGACGATGAGTGCACGACCCTGGTGGTCAAGGTCATCAATTTTTCGTCATACAACCAGGTGCGAGGATTGCGGGGACTGACTTGGACCTCTGCTGTCCCGTGTGTGTGAGCTTTGGAAGGAACACATCCCTCGCTCCTCCCCACACGCGCCACAGACCATCCGCATCCAGCTCGACGGCCTGGCCGCCAACCAGAGGGTGGAGGACGGCGGGGACCTGACCTGGCTCACCTCTGGCCACCCTGAGGATGAAAACACTTTTGACGACCCACACAAGGTGGGTGGAGGGCACTTTGATGGGGAGTGGTGTGTGGTTGGGGGGGTTGAATGCCCCCCACTTCGTTCCAATGGAGGATCACCAGGCTGCGCTTCCTACCCTGAGCTGCATTGCCGATCCTGCAGAGGTGGTGCTGGGTTGATGAAACAGCCCAGGCTATGCCTGAGCCTGTATGCATGAGCACCGCCTTTGGGTTGATTCCCTGCACCCCACATCACATCCCACCTCCATCGCAGGTCACGCCAAGATCCACCTCCCTCTCAGGCCTTGACTCTGACTTCCGGTTGCAGACCGCCCCCTACAGCGTCAACCTGCTGACCGTCCAGCTCGGCTCCGGGGAGGCCCCTGATGCGTACGTCGCTGCTGCCATGTAGGCACTGTTGGTGCATCGCTTTCTGCAAGTCTGTCCCAGGCATCAGGCAACTTGGCGAGGGAGCAGCTTGCTGCCTCTCTCACAAGACTGCACGCTTTTTGAGGTCGCATGCTGGCTGAAGATCATCCAGTGCTGTTGCTGTTGTTATTCATCAGGCTGGCACAACAGCGAATGGGTAACTGCGAGTGTGCCATCAGATCTCAAGCGTCTGTCAATCGGTCGACCAGGCGTGGCCAACCTCCGTCACTCGGTCAGGGGAAGAGTTCAATGCAAACAAAGAGGAGAGAAGTGGCCTGCCTGCCCAGCTGGTGCCGAGCCGGAGCTGCAGGCCAAAGTCTGGCGTGGTCAGTCCCTGCATGCCCACTGTCAAGCAGCGGCTGTCTTGGTCGCAGATCCGGGCGTCCTCAAGTCCCCCTCCTTCAGTGCTGGCAGGTAGGTGTCCACCAGCCAGTCAACCTGCTCCCAGAAGTCCTTCTCCCGGTGCTCGGGGATGACTCGGGCCATCAGACGCCAACGCCGCTTGGCCTGGGTGGCGGAGCGGCCCTTCACCAGGGCGCCCCAGTCCACCTCCCACTCCTTGCAGGCGCCGGAGAGCCATAGGCTCTTCATCAGCCTCCGGTCGTCCCCGGTGCCCCACTCCCCCCGGGTCACCATGGAGGGAGACAGCTGGCGGTACCACTTGTCCAGGCACTGGATGTTGGACCGGGTGCCCACTTGCTGCGGCAGGATGCGAAAGGGAGAGGTGGAGAGGTTGGCAGAGCGTCCGACTTGGCACAACCAGAGCTGCGACATGTACCAGGTCGTTGACGTGCGTTGATCCAGCCAGCTTTGTCTCAGAATAGGTTGATGCAGAGTCCAGACCAACACCCTCTCCAGAGGTATATCTCCTAAAGTCCTTGAATACAAGAGCAAGTGTCCGGTACTTGTCCTCCCTGTCATCCCATCCACCACAAATTAGCAGTAAAGCCCTGCTCACGTCAGAGATGATTCCCCAGTCAATGTCGTCCAGAATGATACGGCGGCTGCCGAGGCCCGCTCCAACTCCCTCCTCTTCGTCTGCCGGAGAGTCAGCACCTCCATTGCTGTCATGGCTGTACGAAAGCTTCTGAGCTGATGCTGCACTCTCCGTCGACTGCGAGGAGAGGAGTGTTGGGGTCACGTCGGTGGGCATGCGGCAGAATTCCGTGTGACGAGCTCCAGCCCATGTGTAGTGTCCCAAGTATCTGAGGGCGCCAATTCCTTCAGTGCCGACGCGCACCTGCCGCGCCTCCTCGTAGTCGGCGATGGCCTTTCGTAGCCGAGCGATCTCGTCTGCCGACCATGGGCCGCTCTTCTTGTCGCTCCCAAGCCTGCGCACATGGGGAGTGGGGCATGCTGAATAGGTGAAGGAGAAGGACATGCACCCCACCGCCGCATGCCCTGCCATAGGTCCAGGGGCAAACAAAGGCAAAGGCAGGTTCTCAAGTCTATTTCGCAAAGCTCAAGTACATCATCGAAGGCAGTTCCATCCCCAACAACGCACCAGGCCCACCTTATTTCCCGCCATCTATCCCGGCACGACACCGCCATGCGCCCTAGGGCAGCCTCTGCTTTGACCCAGGATTTGCCATGCTCCTCCACAAATGCAAGGAGCTTGGCATCCTCCTCCTTCGTCCAGCGTCCCTGTCATTGGCACAATTCAAGCCAGAGCTAGGCCTTCATCGACAGCATCTCGCAGTGACGGTATGATGCATCAAAGATGCCCCTCGATAGTGCACATGACCCAAGACTCCCAAAGATATCACACAGACAGCCATCCCTCCCTTCACCTGATAGTTTCCGGAGTGAAGCATTCGAGTGGAGGCAGCCCACACCGCTTTGATAGTCCGATGTGGGAGGTAGGCCCCCACCGCCTTCCACAGGCCTGACCGGGAAGCCTGGGGGTTGAAAACCCAGTCGAAATCTGTCTGGGAGTGGCCATGCTCCCCTGGAGATGTTGTGGGAGTAGAAGAGGGTGAATGGCATCTGCACATGCCCTCCAGCATAGGTACCCCTAGATGGGCAGGCCGATCGCATCTGCTGACACAGCAAAAGTTTCTAATCCCACATCATACCTGCCCACTTGGCAAGGGCTTGGCGAATGGTATCCTTCTCTGCCTGGGTGAAGGGGCCCGCCTTCACGTCGCGCCGCCGGACAGAGTCGCGCCATTTCAATGCTGCGTCCCCGGGCACCTCGGCGAGGGGCATGACGCTGACACCTGGAGGATCTGGGATGAGGAAGGGGTGCGCATAAGATACACCGACGACCGAGCACCCTTCTTTCTTTCAAAATCTGTCTACCGCCTGGACACTTCTCATGCTGGAAACAATTCCAGTGAGACCCCAACTCTGTAGCACCTTGACTCGGGGTTTCCTCACGCAGAGGCTGCGTCCCTGCCGCTTTGGGAACACTGGCTGGGGAAGGTACCGCCTCCTTGTCCACCACACGCACAGGCGTGCCCTTTCTTCGCTTCTTGGGCGGCTCGCTGGGGGATCCAGCTTGGGAACTGGTCTCCATAGGAGGAGAGGCCAGCCGGGGCTTTGCAGGGAAGATCCGATCATCCTTAACCTCCAAAGCGCCTCCATGTCTGCATTGGGTGGATACGGTTGCAAAGAGGTTTATCGAGCTCAGGGCATCGCCTCTAACGCTGCTCCATTTCGGAAGATTTTCCCCACAGTGCAACATGCATTGCGAAGGACACCATTGCAGACTTCGTACCTCTTCCGACTACTAATGTATGCCTTGAACTCGGCGGTAAGCTCTGACTTTGACACAGCATGCGTCTTGCCGGCCTCCTTCACGCAGCGTTTGATGGCTTTACTCAAGGTGAGGCCCCTCTTCGCCTTGGGCGCCAAAGCACTGGCCAGAATAGGAGCCCAGTCGACCAGGGTCATGTTGGAAGAGAAGCTTCGCTTTACATCAGGATGTAATTTCGCATATTGTTGCCTATTGCTTGCTGTGAAGGAATGCTAGCAGGAAGAGGGCAGACACTCTCCGATTTCGGAGCAGAGCAGAGCGCAGCATGGGCGCGGAGACCACCGAAGGCTCTGGAGAACACACGGCACGATGCGATGAGCAAGTGCAGCGATCACACCCTTCTCCGACATTTCAAAGTATCGCTACCATCTAGTGTGACTCAGATCAGTACAGAAAGAGCGCACTTCGGGACCGCCAGCAAACATGTCATCGGACGAGTTGAAGGTGGGAGGGGATACCTTGAGCGCAGGGCATCGTCACCAAATTATACGCTGAGTAAACGATTGGAATCTATCACTTGGTGGGCATTAGTGATCACGAGTTGCATCGCCGCCTCATCCGATTGCAGGCCCAGGGCAACGCTGCATTTTCGGCTGGCAAGTTTGTCGAGGCAGCTGACTTGTTCAGCCAGGCCATCGCCGTTGACCCCGGCAACCATGTTCTGTACAGCAATAAATCGGCTGCCTTGGTGAGTCCAAAGGGGTCCCAGGATTGCTGACGCGCGCTGTGATGCCTATGCAACTACGTCTTCGACTTGCCTGACATGTTGCCAGCCGCCACAGCCTGAAGGCCAGTGCCCAACCCTTTTACACCCTACTGTGTCCGCAGGCTAGCCTCTCAAAGTATGATGAGGCACTGGAGGCTGCTGAGAAGGTGGTTGCCCTGAAGCCAGACTGGCCCAAGGGCTACTCCCGGTTGGGGGCGGCCCATTTTGGTCTGCGCGCCTTCCAGGCAGCATCAGACGCGTACTCCAAGGGTGAGAAGTGGAAGAGGGGTGTGATTGGCAGCCTGGAGGATGTTTGCCACGCACCGCCAAATCACAGCTGTTGGGCTGCTCGGGTGTGATGTAAATCTCATCACCGTGACTTTCCACGCTGCATTCAAGTTCCCTGCGATGAACTGCCTCGCCCGGCTGTGTAATTACACAGGCTTGGGGCTCGACCCGACCAATGAGCAGCTGAAGCAGGGCTTGGAAGACAGCAAGGCTGCCCTGGCCCGACCCGCTCCCTCCTCTGGAATCTTCACCTCCCCAGAGGTCCTGGGCCGGCTGGCGACAAACCCCACTACCCGTGCCTTCCTGGGTCAGCCCGATTTCATGCAAATGCTGCAGGAGATCAACCGCAACCCCCAGGCCATGTCTGTGAGTAGCTGCGAGGGCAGATTGGGAGATCGAGGGTGATCAGAGGGTGTGGTGGGGCGATGGGGGATAATGATTTTGGTGGGCATGGGCAGAGTGTATGACATCAAATACCTGCAGGGTGGTGGAGCAGCTCTTACGAAGTGCAAGCTCGCAACCACCTCCCGGGCTGTCAAGAACGTCCTGGGCTGTCACCACTACCCACCTGTTACCTCGCAGAACTACTTGACGGACAACAGGCTGCAGCAGGCGCTCCAAGTCGGGCTGGGGCTCAACTTTGGCAGCGCAGAGGAGGGGTCCGCCACCTCCACCTCGGCCCATGCCGGGTTCGGCCCTGAGCCCATGGAGGTGAGGCTTTTGGGAGCAGGGCCTGGAAGCCGCAGTCGGGGATCGCATGCGCTCCCTGTGTCCATTGAGCTCGCCCGAGGAGTCTGCCCACCCTTCCCCCCTCGATACCAAATACAGGAGGACGCCGCCCCCGCGTCGGCTTCCGGGGCGGCGCCGCCTCCCGAGGCCAGCTCCCGGCCCGGCTCCGCCCCCGCCCCGGCGCCGCAACCCGAGGAGCCGGAGGGGGAGGACGAGGTGGCTGCGGCGCGCCGCGCCGCGCTGGCCGAGAAGGAGGCCGGGAACGCAGCGTACAAGGCCCGCGACTTTGACACCGCCATCGCGAAATACTCACGCGCCATTGAGCTGGACGACAGCGACGTATCCTTCCTGTCCAACCGCGCGGCGGCCTACTTCGAGCAGGGCAGCTACGATGAGTGCATCGCCGACTGCGACACGGCCATTGCGCGGGGGCGGGAGGTGCGCGCGGACTACAAGCTGATGGCGCGGGCCATGGCGCGCAAGGGCAACGCACTGGCGAAGAAGGGGGAGCTGGAGGAGGCGGTGGCCGTGTACCAGAAGAGCCTGACGGAGCACAGGTTTGTTGGTGTAGTTTGTTGATGAATCTGGTTGTTTGTGTGTGGGGTGGGGTGGGGATTATTGGGAGTTCCTGAGGGCGTGGGAGATGAGGCAACGTGGAGGCAAGGAGCCCGCAGGTGTACATAAAGATGAATGAATGCATGACAACGCTGCTGCGCACAGGGTACATCGTCTGCCTGGCAAGCCTAGGCGCTCCACACTCACGCATGGAGACGTTACCGCCTCCCCCGCCACCTCCAATCCCCAGGACGGCCGACACACTGAAGCGGCTGAATGAGACGGAGAAGCTGCTGAAGCAGAGGGTGGAGACCGCGTACATTGACCTGGAGCTGTCTGCCAAGGCCAAGGACGAGGGGAACGAGGCCTTCAAGGCCCAGAAGTGAGCAGGGTGGAAAGCAAAGGGTTTGCCGGCGACGCTGCAACACCTGTCCCCTCCGTCTGCCCGCTTCCGCACCTGCCCCTGCGCCCCGATGTGATGCAGGTACCCCGAGGCCGTCAAGTTTTACACCGAAGCGCTGAAGCGCGGGCCGGCCTCGGTGAACGAGGAGGCCTACAAGCTGTACAGCAACCGCGCGGCCTGCTACACCAAGCTTGGCGCGTGGAGCGAGGGCCTGAAGGACGCGGAGGAGTGCATCCGGCTGAAGCCCGACTTCAGCAAGGGCTACTCGCGCAAGGGCCACCTCCAGTTCTTCATGAAGGAGTACGCCAAGGCGCGGGCGACGTACGAGGAGGGGCTGACGCATGACCCACACAGCGCCGAGCTGAAGGAAGGTCTCATTCGTACCATCCAAGCCATCAACAAGGTGCGTGAGGTGGATGATTATGCTGTGTCGTGAATGGTTTGATGTGCCGGGAAGAAGGCACACCTCTGCAGGCCCAGGCAGTATTACCCGCCCGGTGCCTCGCAGCTCACGACCACCTGCGGCCATGTCAAGCTATCAATAGGTCTCAAACACTCCACTCCCTGACCTCGCCGATCCCCTGACCGCCGTCCACGCGCAGATGACGCGTGGGGAAGGGACGGATGCGGAGCGCAAGCAGCAGCAGGAACGCGCGATGGCAGATCCCGAGATCCAGGCCATCCTCACCGACCCCGTCATGCGTCAGGTCAGTAGTAAGAGGCTGCAAATGCTCCGCCTGAAGAGGGACCAGCGTGCGCTGTGGTCCCTGTGGAGTGGGTCGAGTCCCCCTTCCGAGTCCTTTCCCTAGCCCCAGACAACCTCAACCCGTCCTGCAACCCACCCCCACTGTCCATCCTTTCTTCCTACCAGGTCCTGCGTGACATGGAGGAAAACCCAGCGGCCGCCCAGAAGCACCTCGCCAACGTCCAGGTCGCCGCCAAGTTTGAGAAGCTGGTGGAGGCCGGCATCGTCCAGATCCGCTGAGCGACTGGGAGGCGCTCACAGGTATCCCTCCAGGCGCCTACTGGGAGGTACTCACCCCGCGCCAGCGACCCTCGACCTTGGCAGGCACCCCATGCTGCAGCGTGCCGGGTGGCTCGTGCACAGTCCTGCAACGACACACAGAAGAAAGACAGGGAGGGGTGCGTTCTTGGGGGGAGGTGCAGACCGTGGGAGGCAGCATGCGGGGTGCCGGCCCTGGGTGCAGGGGCGAGCTCCCCCCGGGCTGAGGGTGTCTCGGTTGCCCCGGCGCCTACTCCTCTTCCTCGCTGCTCTCCTCCTCCTCTGCCTCGTCCAGCCTGGGGTCAAGAAAAGAGCGGTAGAAGGGGGTGGGAAAGTGCGTTGTGGTGGGCAGGGTGCGTGATGAAGTACTGGGTCTATGGGTCAGGGGTGTGAGTGGAGGGGTTCCTGCTTTCCCATGTGCAGCTGCGGGCAGGGGGGAAGAGATTTGAACCTCAGAGCCCTCTTTCCTGACCATCGCAGCCCCTCTGCTGCCAGTCCTGCACGCTCAAACTCGCGATCTCCTCTCCACTTCCAGCCAGAACTTTTCTGTTCTTCGTTGGCCTTCCTTCCGCCCCACACCCACATACATGGTGGAGCCTCCTCCCACTTCCCCCGCCCCCCCTGGCACAGCAGGCACACCACTGCATGAAGGGCTGCATGTCCTGGAGGAAGACGTTGCGCCCCTTGGCGTTGGACCCCTTGGTGTACCAGTGGCGGATGGCGGTCTCGCCGATGACCTCGCAGTCGTAAAGGATCTTGACGATGTCCTTGAAGATCTTGAGCAGGCGCGACTCCTCGTAGCACGTCACCTGCACGGTCTGGAGCAGGGCCGCCTCCAGACGTGGCGCGCGCGCAAAGCGCGCCAGGGCGGGTGCGTAATGCCGCACCGTGCGCAGCACGTTGAACTGCACCTGCTGCTGGTTGCGCCCGATGGCGGAGGCCAGCACGCTGTCGGCCAGGCCCAGGAAGGCGGCGCGCGCGACGTCGCCGTCAGCCAGGCTCCACTCCTCCTGCCGCGCCTGCATGGCGGGAACCAGCGCGCCCAGCGCGGCGCCCTCGCCACCCTCCGCCACCGTGTCGCGGACGAAGGCACGCAGCTCCGCGCAGTGGGCGTCGTACAGCTTGCGCCGGCTGTACTCCACCAGCGTCTTCAGGCCCGCGGCGTTGAAGTGGTCCTCAAAGTCCGCCCAGGACTGCTTCTGCTGCGGGAAGAACTCCAGCAGGCGCCCCTCCAGCCGTGCCTTGCGCAGCGTCTCCATCAGCGTCTCCACGCTGTCGCTGGACAGGAAGTCCACGTAGAACTCGGTGGTGAACTGCAGGATGGTGCCCTTCTGCACCAGGCGGTCCTCGAGCAGCGTGGGCAGAACGCGATCGGGCAGCACGCCCACCTTCATGCAGAAGATCCGCGCCAGCGGCGG